CGGCTTTACTTACAGAGACTTTTACATATACTTCCTACTAAACCGCATTCCTGGACTACTAATCTTCACTTCAAGTCTATATCCTTACGTTTAATACACTTATTTTTCTATCTCAATTACTGGCGTTGTTTATTTATTTGTGCAGGATTCCATTCACGGAATCCACAACAGTATGAAACAGTAATTTCAATTATTATTGTTGTTGTTGTTGTTGTTGCACAGTACTATTTCTGTAGATACCTTGTGTACCATGCAATATACTGCCTTTCAAGTCACAACAAGGACCTCAGACAGACAGAAGTATGTTTGCGGTACCCAACAACGTAGATTTTTTGTAGAGTTCGAAGTGTGTATTTTCCACCGAGTTCCTCGACATCTTCTTTAAATTTCAAAGAGATGGAGCTGAGTGTCCCAATTACTCCCGGGATGACCATAACATTTTTTCCATAAAATTCCACAATCTGGCAATCTCAAACTTCAGGTCGTAGGAGTTTATGATCTTCTCTGTTTGTTTTTCTGTTTGTTATATTGTAATCAGCAGACTATGTCTGTTTTTAGCTAATTCAATAACTCGATCCCTTTGAAAGTCATAGCTCCAAGTTGTCTCCGGTTTACCTTCCTTTTCCATTACTCTCAATTCTAAGTCCTCGTAACATTTCTCGAACACGTTGTAAACTATTTTTTGCACAGAAGCCAGTTTTTATTACTTAAACATTATTTGTAGTAGATATATATATTTGAGTAGACGCCCTGTTTATATTTTAAACAGCATATTTATTTATTTTCGTCTAGCGGTCTAATTATTCGAGGAATCTTATTAAAGAAAATAGTCACTCACCGGCAGGATATCTTTCTTCATTAAAATTTCTGCAATATTCAGGCCAGTAGACGGAAATAAATAAATATACGGTTTAATAGATAAGCAGGGCGTCTACTCAAATATAAGTATCCACTAAAATTAACGTTTAAGTTAGGGGTTTTCAACCGGGGTTTACATGGGCCCTAACAGCCCATGTAATACTCCTGGTGATCCACAGGCAAAATATAACAAATTGGTTGTCCACAATGATATTTCCGTGGTCCGCGAAGAAAACTAATTCAGAATAGTTTTTATTATTACAAATTAAATTTCTACGGTATATATATATATATATATATATATATATATATATATATATATATATATATATATATATATGTATTTGTGTGTGTATGTGTGTGTATGATTCTTACTTACTTTATTTCTTTTATACAGGTACCTCCACTGAATTTTCAATACCTCATGTTTAAAATTAATTGCTACGTTGTTGCTTTTCCAACATCTTATCTTATTGAATGGGGATTTAGACGTGTTTCTCAACTGTTATCAAAAGTTCGCAATATACTTGACATTTTGAAAAGAGATGATCTTCGACTATCATTAACATCGATGGGTTCCATCGATGTTAATGATAGTTGAAGATATAAAGAAACTCGCTGAGTGGCATCAACTACAGGAACATCAATGAATAAATATGCCTTTCTTTTTTTTCTAATAACACAGTTAAATTGGTTTATTAAAATTTTTAACCAGTGTGCATAAATAAATGCTACAGTGAATCCAATTGTTTGAAGAGCTCTGCTCTCCATGAGTTTGCCCTTGGAAGAAACATTGTAATATTGTAATACCAGATACTGGTCAATAAAAATTATTATTGCTATAATTATTATTATTATTATTATTATTATTTGTAGAATAATTTATTTGCATTAAATTAGTTTTCATTTAAAAATAAAGCTTAATTATATAATATTTCTTTAATTATTAACACTTCAAAATTTTATTAGGGAAAAATACAATATTATTGTCTTATGTCAAATAGCTATTAAGGGGTCCACCAAGAAAAAAGAAAGGGAAAACGGGTCCATGAGTAAAAAAAAAAAAAACAAAGTTGAGAAAGATTGGATTAATAGAGCGGTCACTTCTTTAGAAACTTCCATTTCATAATCACATGTGTGACCTCTTTATTATTATTATTATTATTATTATTATTATAGTGCCAATAGTTTCAGTTGTTTTATTTCAAACCAACAACAGTCCTCTAACGTGTATTAGGTCTCTAGATTTCAAAATAGAGAGAGTTGTACATTTTTACACATCGAAATATTATCATTAATCCAATATGTTAATTACCAGCGCTTTGATCAAACAAGAAACACTATTCTTCTACCTATATGGAAGCTTATATCAAAGCAAAAATTCTTTAGCGCAAATTAAAGGCGACCCTACGTGAGATGCATTTATACACGAATAAGCTGTGCCGGATTATGACCTTTGGGGTCACCTCGACTTAAAAATTATGGAGCCTCTCTCAGACGAAGCTACACTTTAATTTGCGCGCATCCGTCTTGGTTATTTTTTTTTTTTTTACTCGTGGTATATTTTAGTAACATTTACAAAGCTTGAAGTAAGCTTATTGAGAATTCTTAAAATATACTAGAATGTCTATCTTTTGTTTGTTAATAAAAAACATTGTTTAAGGAATCTTATTTTTATTTCACTAGTTATTGTAAACCAAATTAGCAAATATTTCAAAACAACCGGAGTAAATAGTTATATACAGTACCTATGAACACTAATGGGTATGTCCCAATCCTCATAAATACATTGCACACTATTGTTAGTAGGGGTAATATGCTGTGTAAGTAGTCCTTCACTAACAGTGGTTTACCTACTTCATGGCGTTGGCGAGTATTGTATTTTGTTGATGTTATAAAGATTACCATTTCATTTCAAGCCCCTGTTTTGGCTATTTCTCATTCAGTAACCTTTTCTAGGTTACAACAAAAATAAAAGAAGAGATTCCTTTTATAACCTACATTATAACAGTAAAGCAAACACTATAAATATAAGTTTGTCATATTGATATGATTTTAGTTTATGAAATGATTTAAAAGTCAAAATATTTAAAAAAAATTAAAATTACTGATTTTTTTTATAACGCCACTAACACGCAAGGAACCACTGGTAGGAAAAGAGAATGAAAATTGAGGAACCGGAAACGTGATCCTAAACAGGAAAATGTCTGAACCCCTACTCCTGCTCAAATGACCGTGGAGTGTGAACCGGGGATAGGCGATACTATTATAAAAATTTCTAAGATTTAAAGATTCTGAAGTAAAATTTTGTGGTAAACCGTCCTACAGGCGAATGAACTCTTCCTCCTCTCATAAATACTAACTGCGAGAGTCGGTTGGGGAGCGAGACGCAGTCTCTGACTGTGTGCGACTTCTGTCGAACTCTCTGCTTTGGCAGAGAGGAACCCAGACGAAGATATGCCGAGGGGTAGAGTTTCGTCCGGGGAGGTAGACAGACCCTGAACTCGTTTATACGGTTTCTAAGGGAATATTTTTGGCCGAGCCTACGGGCTCGGAGAACCCACGGTAAACTCGGTCTTGTGCCACATACATCCCTCGTGTTATGGGGAGGCTGTTAAATATCGCCGATACACAGTGTTAACCTACCGTTCGGACGTACAACGCTATCTGCTTATTACTAATACTCTTGTTTTGTATATATCTGTTATTTCCATACACTTGTTCAACCTACCTTCGTCTTTCGTGTCTTTCTTTCCGGGGTCCTAAACAGGCCAAAACATAAAATCACATATGTTTTCTGCTTGAAACACAATGACACACATTTAAACATTCTTTTCCTTACTTTGTTTCCTGCAAAATCAAATAAATATGACTTTGACTCATTGATACCATTTCAGTTTATAGAACTATTTTCAAGTTATAACACCTAGAAAATTAAAATCATTGCTTTATAAAAGCCTGATGGGTCAAAGGTTGCAGCCTCTACTAGCTTAACCCTAGAACACTAACCATCAATTAAAGTTACACTACTACTAACCATGAGTATATCATACCCGATTTTGAAAATATCAAAAAAAAATATTAAATATAAATCTTTATAGTCTGTCTATATTTCTGAGATGAGGTATTATGTACATTATTTACATTATTCGGACTATTGTCCTCATCTTTGTCGCCATATTTATCACAACGTTTCGGCCGTTGTACGCTCCGGCCTTCTTCAGGTGGTTGGAATGTCGAACTGAACCCTTTATTTCGCTCACTGGGGTAGACTGTTCTAGTTACACGTGCCATGTTTGATGGATGTCAGCTATCAGTTATCTCCTGATAATTTTCCCTCTGAAAGTTCTCCACTGCCTTAACCGGGTATTGAACTCACACTCTTTGGGTCCTATCACTGGATTTAACCAACGCCTTTATCCACTGTGCCATGTGTCCTTGAGGGTTCAGTTCGACATTCCAACCACCTGAAGAAGGCCGGAGCGTACAACGGCCGAAACGTTGTGATAAATATGGCGGCAAAGATGAGGACAATAGTCCGAATAATGTAAATAATATAAATCTTTATTTGAAATATTTTACATGCAGGCACTTCAAATTTTGTACTTTGAGTTAACATTAATAGGAAGTGAAAAACATTATTTAGGTAAGAAAATCAGGTACTGAATACTGTAATTAAATATAGGAAAATTTGTACTGGGTACTATATACACATGGTTAGTGTTCTAGGGTTAAAGCATAATCCGACCCTGCGAATAAGGCTGGTCATTTTCAAGAAAATATAAGCTCATTCAACACTTTCCAGACCCCAAAAGTATATATTCTTCTAAAAGCTTGTAATTGTCGAGAAAACCAAAATAGCACACATGAAAAGAAAATCCTTTTTTTTCTATTAAGTTAATGCTTAAATAACAATATTACAACTTCACCCCATGTACAGGAAGGAATCGGCAGATAAATTATGGCAAAGACCTTCTTGATACACGATGAAGCGTTTTCTCTATTTTTAACTGACGAAGTGACGAATGTAGATAATGAAGAGGTGTCGAAATAGAAACGTTTCCCTCTGCCCTATGCCACAGTGAGAGAATAATGATGTTAGTGTCTTCTAATGTTATCTCTGATGGCAATGATAGTGCTAATTAATAAGAAAACGAACAGCGAAAGTTGCATGGCGGGTAAAGTTCCGATTGTTTATATTGGGCTTTTCTGGGGAGGACGCCAGAAGAAAGGGAAAAAGAAAAGAAAGAAGTGAAAAGAAGAAAGAGAGCGGAAGGGAACGTAAAAGAGAAGAAAGAATCAAAAAAAGAGATGAAGTGGCGAGAGAGAAAGGAAAAGAGAGATAAAAAGGAAAGAGATTGAATAAGAAAACTCAAAGGAAGAATAAATAGAAAAATAAAGTGAAAAGTAAACGAGAATAAACACAGGGAAAGAAATAGACAAAAGAAAGAAAGAAAGAAAGAAAGAAAGAAAGAAAGAAAGAAAGAAAGAAGGAAAGAAAGAAAGCTTGGAAACAAGAAGGAAACAGAGACCAAAAGAAGAATCGTAGAGAAAGAAAATGCTAATAGAGAGAGACAAAGGAAGGAAGGAAGGAAGGAAGGAAGGAAGGAAGGAAGGAAGGGAGAGAGAGAGGGAGGAGGAGGAAAGGAAAGGAAGGAAGAAAAAAGGAAGGAAGGAAGGAAGGAAGGGAGGGAGGGAGGAGGAGGAAAGGAAAGGAAGGAAGGAAGGAAGGAAGGGAAGGAAGGAAGGAAGGAAGGGAGGAAGGAAGGAAGGAAGGAAGGAAGGATGATTGGAAACAAGAAAGAAATAGAGACCAAATGAAGAAGAGTAGAGAAAGAAAATGCTAAAAAGAAAGAAAGAAAAAAGAAAGAAAGAAAGAAAGAAAGAAAGAAAAAAAAAAAGAAATGAAAGGAAGGAAGGAAGGAAGGAAGGAGGAAGGAAGGAGAGAGAGGAAGGAAAGGAAAGAAGGAAGAAAAAAGGAAGGAAGGAAGGAAGGAAGGAAGGAAGGAAGGAAGGAAGGAAGGAAGGAAGGAAGGAAGGATGATTGGAAACAAGAAGGAAATAGAGACCAAATGAAGAAGAGTAGAGAAAGAAAATGCTAAGAAAGAAAGAAAGAAAGAAAGAAAGAAAGAAAGAAAAGAAAGAAAGAAAGGAAAGGAAGGAAGGAAGGAAGGAAGGAAGGAAGGAAGGAAGGGAGAGAGGAAGGAAAGGAAAGGAAGGAAGAAAAAAGGAAGGAAGGAAGGAAGGAAGGAAGGAAGTAAATAGAGAGCAAGCAATGAGTAGTAGAGAAGAAAAATAAAGATAGAGACAGATAAAGAAAGAAAGAAATATATCTTGGGAGAAATGCAAGTAAAAAAAGCAAGTAGAAAATAATATTCGAAAAAATTTGAAATTAAGGAGCTAAAGATGGTTTGAAAGTGTAGGGCTTTCTTGAACAGATCCCTGGGGTGAGGCTTTTATAACCCCTACAAGTTTGACCCCCTCAAATTTAGAATCAACCTACATATCTTCATAATTTACAATATTTTCGTCCATGAAACAACTTCATTCAGTAACTCTCTACCAACCCTTGGTATTGTCTGAACAAAAATAAATAAATGTTTGATTTACCTGAACTTAAAAAAACCCGATTCATGTTATTTGACCCACATATATGTCCATGTGACAATGGAAGAAGTAAAACCGTAGTGAATTAGCAGAAATCTTCTTTTTTTTTTAATATATTTAAAGTAATGATATTTTTTTAACCGAAGAAGAAAATAGAAGAATGAAATTGCTAAAAGGGTGAAAGAAAGAGAAAAATGTCAGATATTTTTGTTATAAATACGTCGAAAATAAAATAAAAAATGAAACAAGATGAAGACGGAAAATAGCAAAAGAAAAAGAAGAGAAGAAAATGCTTGAACACTTTAGAAAAATTATTTGGTAAATCCATAAAAGAAAAGAAAAAAAAACGAAATTGAAAGGAAAATATCCACATAGAAAAATATACAAAAAACAAAATATGAAAATGTCTAAGAAAATGCACAGATTGTCGCTAAGAGTAGAAGAAATATATATATATATATATATATATATATATATATATATATATATATTATATATATTATATATATTTTCCTTTTAATTTCGTTTTTTTTTTTTTTTAATGGATTTGCCAAATAATTTTTCTAAAGTGTTCAAGAATTTTCTTCCGTTCGTTTTCTTTTACTATTTTCTGTGTTCATCTTGTTTCATTTTTTATTTTATTTTCGACGTATTTATAAAAAAATATGAAAATGTCTAAGAAAATGCACAGATTCTCGCTAAGAGTAGAAGAAATAAACATTTGCTGATGTCTCAAATATTTACTGATAATTCAAAATATTTACTGCTGAGTCAAATATTTGCTGGTGTCTTGAATATTTACTGATGAGTCAAATATTTGCTGAATCTCGAATATTTTCTGATGGCTCACTAATACCTTCGAAAACATTTCGAAAATGAACAGATTTTTACTAATATTAGAAGAATTAAACATTTGCTGATGTCTCGAATATTTACTGGTAATTCAAGATATTTACTGCTGAGTCAAATATTTGCTGGTGTCTCGGATATTTACTTATGACTCAAGTATTTGCTGATGTCTTGAATATTTACTGATGAGTCAAATATTTGCCTGTGTTTCGGATAAATATGACTGATGACACAAATATTTGCTGGTGTCTCGGATATTTACTGTTTACGCAAATGGTTGATGTCTCAGATAGTTACTGATGTTCCAGATATTTACTGATGAGTCAAATATTTGCTGATATCACAAAGATTTCTTACTGCCTCTAATATTTACTGATGTCTCATATATTAATTGATCGCTCACGTATTTGCTAATACCTTCGAAAAGATTTTTAAAAATGCATGAATTTTCGCTAATAGCAGAAGTAAACATTTGCTGATATCTCGAATATTAACTGATGAGTCAAATATTTGCTGGTTAAGTAAAATTGTTTTAATAGAAAGATTTTGTAAATTTCAAACGACAGTAGCACTGACTGTTCGATCAATGACAGCAGAATATAGCCACACAAGGAAACTACTAACATATATATATATATATATATATATATATATATATATATATATATATATATATATATACCAGATGTAACAGCAAAATCCAATTCCATGTAACAGCAAAAATGACCAATTGTTAGATTAAGCTTTGAACCGTTGTATCTTAGACATGTGAACTGTTGTATTTTAGAAATGATTAAAGATATCTTACTGGAATTCTCAGAGATTTTTATAACACTATTGGACTCTACTTTGAACAATAATACTATATTTAGGTAAGAGTTGAAATGATGATTCCTCTTCTTGTTGTGACCTCCTGATCCAGTTTTCCTTCCTACTGCTCCCTCTTAAAACTTCACCGTTTTCTTGATGGTTCTTGAATGGACTTTGAAGATGTAAGCCAGAGTATGAATGTTGGTAACATTACTAAAGGCCTGGGTGATCTTTTTCGTCTCACTATTACTAAGTTGGGAAGATATCGTGGGGCTGACAAAAAATGATTTTAACCTGT